CAGAAGACCAGATAGAAAAGAAAGAAAAGACCACTAGCAGATATAATGACAGCAGGAGCATTACATACAGTATGAGCAGTGTTGGGCAGGAACGTGTTACAGTACATTTTCCAGTAACGAGTGGTGCAACAAAAACTCATACTCGTATTGTCTCCCCTGCTGATTTGAAATCTGACAATCAACGTCATCCCTAGATTTATTTTCACAATAGCTGCGCTGCACGTGCACTTCACAAAGCAGCAAGCTAGCTCAGAAAAACGAAACGCTTATATTCAGCAGCTGGAAATACTCCTATTACGTGATTTTGTTGGGAGGAAAGATGGCAAGAACATCACTCTTTCCATTGCGAAAAACATGACGTCACACCTCTTGAAACATCTAACATTGCTACAATAGCACTACAACATGAAGCTTGTGGAAGTACGCCCCACCAAAAGTGAGCCCTCCTCCGCAGTGGAGGACGGCTGTCGCCCAACTCTGGCGAAACAACCAAAACTGGATTTTAATTGTGAACAGCTGCAGGCTCTAAGTTCCAAAGAACTAATGAAGCTTGTGGCTGGATATGTAGTGATGAAATATTGCCTGTCTCCACGATTACCTCTCCATCTCTAGACAGATCCTTGGAAAGATACTGGTCACAGGCGAATTTTTAATTTTGTGGAAGTGACAGAAAAGTTATGAATTAATGTTGGTAGGGAGTAAGAAATAAAAGTAATAATGAGTGTTATTTTATTTATTTTATTGAGTTATGAGCCCAACACTGAACATGATGTGCAGACAGTGACACTGAATGCTGTGTTATTGTCTCACCTCTTTGGCTACAGTGTGCCAGTGCAGGTGACTCTCACACTGATCCATACGCTCCTGATGCAGGAACTTACACTTGTCGGGAACAAGCAGGGCGTCGCTCACAAACTCCCCAACTGCAACATAAACATGCCTTTGCTTATTTCATGCAGTTAGTATTTCAATTCAAAAACATACACACACACAGACACACTCAGTAACATACACCTGTATCATTAAAAACTGGTTACCGAGGCAGCGGTATGGCACCACAATGTGAGTGTGACTGCGGCACTGCTTGCGGCCTTTCTTGCACCAGTTCTGGATGCTGACAGGCTGGTTGGCCTCCACAACATTTGTGATCTGCAACTCTGGGTACACCTGGAGAAAAGTGAAAGATTTTCTTTCTTACTACATTAGTTGTGTCTTCGAGTCTACTTGCTGTAGTTAGTTTCTCTTTCACTGCATGGCAGTCTCACTCTGTTTAAATACCTCTTGGCAGTACTGCAGGATGCCCTCTTTGGTGCCGATGCAGCTCTTGGTCCCAGAGGGATCCGACTCCCATTTGCCACTCTGCACATTGATGTGCATGTTGAGCTTCCCGCAGAACATGGCCACCTGGGGCTCAGTTAGCAAACCCACAGAGTCATCAGCAGGCACCTGGACAGAAAAGGGGAAAGAGACAACAACAATTAAGATTGACAGTATGACACTAGCTTAAGTAGAGCTTACCCGTAAATATACTGATGTATCTTATGCGTATTTAGCCACTCTCAGTTTATTCTACTTCAATCCTGCTCATCCGTCTCTGTATACAGTTCTGGGATTACTGAATCATAAAGATAAATTACTCAATAACATCGCTGCACATTTAAGGTATTATATAAATAAATAAAGGAATTTACTACTGGTTTAAGCCTAAGCAAGGCATGATACTCTGTTTCATCCCTTTGAGCCCATAAGCCGGAGAGCTAAGCATTACGGCCACGGGGCAGCACGTGTCCTTTGTTAGCCTGTCTTATGAGGTTTTATTAATTTCTTATATCTAAAGAAAGTGCAATACGAGTGTGGAGAAGACCATATGCTATCACATCAAAGATAAAGTAGATAAACTTATTAACTTACAGGCTATGAATATCCAGCTGTCAATCTCGTCTTTCAGCTGAGCCAGTTTTAGGTCTTGCGCTGTCCAATAGGACATAGCTTTCTGCGCTGTTTTTCTTCCTTTGTGTTTGGGGAAACAATTGGAGGAAGTCTCCGTGTTTCCCCTTCTGTGCCTTGTATTTTTCTGGCAGACATCAGAGAAGACTGGTGCTGCACGCTGATAATACGTGAGCCAACAGGCCATCTGCTGCCAATCTTTAAATGACTAACTCAGGCTTGATGCTATGTTTGCCTGTCAAGATGTGCATAACATTATCCTCCTGTGATTCAGGATGGGATAGCCCATTGTTCGTTTCTACAGAAATGACTCTCTTCTCACCTTACCAGCCCACTGCATAATTCTTTCCATCATTTATTTAGTCATGTAAATTCCTTCTTTTTTTTGAGCGCCTTGCATCATATCGCACCTCAGTCTTGCTCATTCTGTTTGAACCAAAGTAGTTAAAATAGGAAATACAAACTGTAGGAACCAGCACCCACTTGAACACAGGGAATGCTATATGAATCTATGTTACAGTCTACAGTATATAAAACAAAACAGTGTTAATATGTAGAATGTGTGATTGGTGGGACGAGAGTCCTAACACCTGCAAACCTGTGCTTCAAATAACAAAAGCCTGAACATACCAGTCCATGTGCAGTTGTTCACCACATGCCCCTGGCTAATGCCCTTCAAATCAAATCCCTTGTAAACACATTTAAGCCACAAGGCACAGTGATATCAAGTCATGTGCTACCAGTAAATTGCACTTGTGCTTACTAGCTACTGAGACAACCAGTCCAACCCAGTCTTACATCAAAGAAAAAGCTGAAAAACACTCCTGCATGACGGTTAGGGAGTGTGGCAGCAAGCTATGACAAAAGGTTATCACATCTAGGTATTGCTGCTGCGGGGCATGTGTGACTCTTTTAATCATGACTCAGCCTGCAGCCTTAAGAACATGCAGCACAAAAAATGCAATACATAGCAACACAATGGGTGGATTTGACTAGATTAACCAGACTGGCTTGAGTGAATCTCACCAGACAGGTCATAAGACCCAAGGAAAATGGCAATCGTAAAACAGTACAACAAAAAGACAAGAAACTGGGAACAGGATTGTGACACCATAGCAAACAAAAATACAAGTGAGCATGATAAAATTTATTTGCATAGGCCTACATGATGTCCCACCCAAATAGTATAGCTTTACTATCTTAGGGCAGTCACGGCTTTGGCAATACAGTGATATTTGTTGAATGCTACATCAAATAGTGTGCCCTGCATAATTCTGCTGTAGAGACATGTTTCACTGCAGCACAGGGGGTTGGTTCAGGTGGGAAACCTACAGAGGGTGTGTTATTATCTTGTGTCTGCATTATAGTACAAAAATTTCCCTGAGTAACATGCAGCCCCAGATGCAGCATGGTAATGAGAAAACAGCTGCATGCATATAATGATCTGCATTATGCAATGTAGGCCCTGTTCATCATATTTCCAGCTGGTCCTGAGCTGGGTATTTCTCTGTGGTCCTGCACAGCAACAGCAGCAAGCTGCAGGCGCCATCTTGCTTGTGTCAAACTCAAAAAGGCTGCATCCTTTTTCCATTCTCCTCAGCAATATCACCACCCTGCAGCTGCAACGCTGCTGGACTGGACCAAATGGGCCAGGTCGACGCAGCAGCAACAAATAACACTGGACATTAGCATTACTAAATAAAGAAACAACGTCGGTACCACAGGGTGTAACATGTAATAGTCACATCACGGTTGAATGTGTTGTGTTTGTTAGGTATATCTGGGGTATCGACGGGTTTATTTGAAACAATTAAGACTTTAAACATGGTAAACTGATTGCATACGACGTTATGTTAGCCGTTAGCGTGTAATATAATGGAAAAATAAGCTAGCGTTAGCTGCCTACACCTTATCCACTGCGCTAGTTTGGTGACCTAACGAAGCTAGCTAGCAATACAAAAGATAACAGCCGTAAACTAAAAGTATTTTTATTATACAGTAAAAGAATAACGTTTAAAAAAACAACCCAAGACTAACCAAAACATGTCCAACATGGCAGGGCCGACCTGTCAATCACTGACATCTAACGGTAGGCCTTGGTAACATTGCTGACATAATTTGGCTTGCTAATTCTACGCAGTAAATCTGTGTCACAGTAAAAACCTGTCACATCAATGGACACGTATAATAAAAGGTTTCTGACTGTCAGGGAAAACTAATATACTGGATAAAATGAAGGGTGGGCCTCGGTCAAGCGCTGTAATAATGTTATCTTTGGTAGCAGCACGGTTGTTATCGGTTACACAGCCTCCATGTCATCAACGGAACGTTATAAAATACGCAGTTACAGACGTTACATTACATTTCAGTTTAACTGTTAGTATAAGGGATTAAACACGGTGGTTGGCACCGTGGTGGGTTTGGTGGCCGCTGTGGCTACAGGCCCGCGGATGAACGGAGCCAAGGGAACGACTCAACCGACTCCCACAGCCTGAGATTTCTCCGTTGTGCTCACCTCGGATGAAAGCGTCAAGGTCGCCACCAGTAACAGCAGAAACGCCGTGAGCTCTCCCATGCCGTCCTCCCAGTATCCAGCACCCCCGTTATGGTCACGATTATTCCGTTAGAAATAAAATAAAGCCGGTGGTTGTTTGTGTCAACAGCAGCAGCGGCGGCTGAAGTGTTCCGATCCCGATCCCGGTGATCCCTCCCTGTTTAGCTCCCGACGGTGACGGCGTGAGGCTGGATATGTGGGGGGTGGGTGGGGGCGAGGGAGTGGGTATGCGTGTGCGCGCGCGCGCGTGCAACTGTACGCTTTCCATTAATTTTATAACAGTAGAAAATCCTAATAAATCAAGCCACTATGAATCAAATAGTGTTTTATTATAAGCCAGCCACGTTGTGCTATGATAATATTCACACAGGGCCTTCTGATTCCTTGGATCAATATGGTTTCCATCGGCCCGAGTGGGAGGCGGATTACTCAATCACTCTGCAGACACTAATTTCCTATTATATGTTTATGACGATGATCCGGAAACTCATACCAGAGGCTCCTGAACTTTCACTTGGTTTCACTCAGTCTGAAGACGGACGTGTGTGGATCGCTGACATGATCACAGGTCGGGATTTCAACCACCTGTACTTGAGGGATCTTGGAAATGTGACCAAGACATTAACACAACGCAGGGCGGATTAGAGTAACCATACTTCTAGACATTGTTGGACCAAGTTAGCAGCACATTCCTCGACACACGAGTCTTTTTTCACACGCGGGGTGCAACATGAGGACCTTCCTGGGAGTGTTAATGGTGATCATTGTCTCAGGTATGCCTTCACATCACTCAAACTCGACAGTAATGCCTCTGGCAATGTATTTTAAATGCTATGGTGCAGAATAATCAAATGAGTCTATTAGTGTGTCATTATTAACAGCAGGGTATATTGCCCAAGTAGCCTACTATAGACTGTACTGCAATACTGGTTATTACTGACGCATGATTGACATGCACTTTGTGTTTCAATTCCCATTTATGGATTGCCTAACAAACACATCACAAATTTGTGACCCAGTTCCCCTTGTAAGATTTCAGCATTTATGAAATCCCACCTAAGAGTTAAAAAGTACTGTGTGGCTGCAGGGGTTCAGAAATATAAGTAGGTCTAATAATGTAACACTGATTTAACACTCAATATTTCCGGTAGTAATAATGGTTACAGAACCAGCAGCTGCTCTGGTAATACCTAAGATCAATAGAGTTTTGCCACTAGTGCCACATAAATGTAGTGTTGGAAAAGTGCAAAGTACAAACTCAAGGTATGTGTACTTTAGAGCACTTTATGCTACTTCATACTTCCACTCCACTACATTACAGAGGTAAATATGGCACTTTTTCTCTCTCTTACTTACTCTGATTTTAAGAGTCTGTGATAAACTGAAGGATGAAGTGTTCCTTAATGTGTTGAGAAAATCCTCCTACATCTGGAGCTAAATAAACTCTTGAAAATCCCTCTTGGATCAGATGGAAAATGCATCATGACAAAGCTGAAAACATGCTAGCCACGCTAAAAACATATGGTGGTCTTATAGAATAAGATGCAACAGTATGTAAAGGAGTTAAAATTAGTACAACCTTAAATATCTACAGCAGTAAAGTGGGACATTCACAGTAATGCAGCAGTAACATTAATCCACAAACACCATATATAACAGTAAAATACTAACACAAAATTACTTTTACTTCAGTAAGGTGTTGAATGCAGGGCCTTTACTTGTAGTGGAGTATTTTCACAGTGTTATATTAGTGCTTTTACTTAAATAAACAATCTGAACACTTCCTTCAACACTGTGTGAATGGAAGTCCTTTAGGCATTCAGTATAAAAACAGGGTTAAAACAACAAGAGGGACTTTTAGAGGTCAGGGCGTATTCATGGAGTAAGGTCAAGTAAGGTTAATCATGAAACTTTACTTGGATTTTGGTTTGTTTGATTCTTATGTTTAACTTCATGTTACATGTTTTGTGTCTGTCTTTAACATCTTTGGACTGAGCTGGTAGTAAAAGTTTTCTCACTTCATCAACACCCCTTTAGTAGTTTTACAGAGCTGTAAATCAAATCCAAATGATTGGTTTTTGTTGTACACGTATAAATGTGTCATGAGGTAAATTCTTTGAATTCTTTGTTATGACTCTTTTACAAACTGAAACAATGCATTGTTTAATCAATCAATTTTATTTATAAAGCCCAATATCACAAATCACAATTTGCCTCAGAGTGCTTTACAGCATACGACATCCCTCTGTCCTTAGGACCCTCACAGCGGATAAGGAAAAACTCCCCAAAAAAACCCTTTAACGGGGGAAAAAATGGTAGAAACCTCAAGAAGAGCAACTGAGGAGGGATCCCTCTTCCCTCTTTAAGAGCTCCATAATAACTGAAGGCATTTATTTAATACATACAGTAACAAATACATTTATATTGTTTATTTAAATTCACTTAAACACCCTTTACTTGTCAGAGTTTTGTGGTTTGGGCTTCGGTGAAAAAGTCCATTATTTTGTTTAATGTCACCAAAGCATGTCTCCTCCTCTTGTTTAGAACAAACTATTTTATTTGTCAGATATCAGCAGGACTGGAGCACTATGTAGGTCAACGTTTTTACATTGTTTAGGCTAAATGATCTCAGACATCACCAGCTTGCTTCATCTGGTTTCGTTCTTCATACACTTGAGGTGGAATACAAACAAAGTGAGTCTCTGATTTTTAACTAGGAGTGGCTTTGCAGTCATGTTTGAACAACAAAGAACCAAAAGGTCAGGGTTCACAAATTAAGCACCATCAGTAAAATCTGCACAGTTGTTTGCCAGATGGAGTTTGTACAGTTTATAAATTGATTTTAATATGTAACTATGAGGCACTTCAGTTATCACAGGCACAGCAAGGGGAGACAGAGGCTATGGGAGGTCAATGGGGGGGACAAGGGACTTTGCTAATAAATGCAGTGAAGGTGTTACTGTGGAAGGAAGTAATTGGATTAGTAATAACAATGCAAACATAAAAAATGCTAGCAAATGCATTAAAATTATAGAAGGGGGAAATGAAAGCAGGACATTGGTTACTGGACATGACTGGATACTTAATTCAAATGTCATTGTGGTAAAAGATGACGATTGTTTTTGTTACACAGAGAAAGTGAAGTAGGCTTTAAGAATTAAGTGGAATGAAGTTGAACTAGTCTTTTATCATTAATTTAAAGAAACAGTGTGCAGGGGCGCTCAGTAGCTCAGTGGGCAGAGCAGGCACCCCATCTACAAAGGTAGTGTCCTAGCCACAGCAGCCACAGGTTTGATTTCCGCCCCAAGCCCTTTGCTGTATGTCATCAACTCTCTCTTCCCCTTTCACTCTGTCTGTCCTATCTAATAAAGGCACAAAAAGCCAAAAGAAAGAAGATGTAAGATTCAGGAGGATTTAGTAGCATCATGTGGTGAGGACTGCAGATTGCAACCAGCTAAAACTTGTCGAGGTTAGAATTCTCTCAGTGTTCATTGTTCAGGAAGTTTTTACCAGGAGCCAAATTATCTGCAGAGCAAAAACACTGAATAAGGCAGTTTCACGTTACAAATCGTTTTTACGACACTCTTGCCAAGACAGGGCTGCTACCTGTGATGGCCAACTTGAAAATGCAAATGGTACATATTTTTCCTACAACCTGTGGTGCTATTTATCAAGCTAGATTGTTTTGGTGTGAGTTGCTGAGTGTTGGAGATATCGGCGGTAGAGATGTCTGCCTTCTCTTGAATATAATGGATCTAGATGGCACTTGACTTGTGGTGGTTTAAGTGCCAAAAAATACATTTGAAGATCTCAACAGCTCTTTCGTGAAATCATGACACTTCCTTCTGTAGCGTGATACAGTTGGCAGGTGTAGTTTGGAGGAAAGAAGAAAATAGTTCCTGTGAAACTGCTCACAACAAGGTCTGTGGATTATCTTGAGAATCCAGGTCATGATTTCGGAAGAGACATTGCTGTTGAGTTTTGAGAAGGCGGACATCTCTACAGCTAATACTTCAATGCTCTGCAACTCACACCAAAACAACCTAGATTAAAAATACCTAAGCTTTATTAGTTTCAAGTGAAAATCAATCATAGTTGTACAGGTAAGAGAAAAAATGTGTATTTTTGATTTTGGGGTGAACTATCCCTTTTAAGTACAAGTACAGATGTATCATCAGCTAAATACAAGCTACTTAAAGTATCAAAAGTAAAAGTACTAATTCTTGACTCACATGTTATTGCATATGACATCATTAGAGTGATAATACTGATGCATCAGTGTGTAATTAGTATTTTAGCTGCTCGAGGTGGAGCTAGTTTTAACTTCTCTCCAGTTTTGTTCCAACCTTTGAAGGGTCACTAGATAAATCTGTCAGGATTCTAAGATAATTAATGAGGGGGGAAACAAGTGGAAATGAAGCTCAGATACAGCGGTCTGTTTTCATTGTTTGGGTTTTGCTTAAATCTTGGCTTTTGCTTGTGAAATATGTGATTATTTTAGCTCTTTGGACCTCAAACAGTTACTTAAATGCAACCATGTGAGAAGTTCAGAGAAAAAAATTCCTGGGGAGGAGATGTTAACAGCTTATAAACATCTGAAGCAAGGCAAAGTGACTTAAGTTCAGTGTGATTTTAATGACGTCACAAGACAAAAAGTTTGGGAACAACTGGATTAATCTTTCGTGGTGTTTTGTATTCTATTATCCTATCAGATTTTTTAATGTCAAATCTTGATTTGAAAAGTAATTAGTGAATACTGGTATTAAATATAAGTTGTGGGGTAAAAAGTACAACAGTTTCCTCTACATGGTAGTAGAGTAGAAGTATAAAGTAGCATAAAATGGAAATACTTAAGTAAAGTACAAGTACCTTGAAACTGTACCTAAGTGCAGTAGCCTACATGAATAAGTGTACTCAGTTCCTTACGACCACTGGGATCACAAATTAGCAGATGTCTGACAGATGTCTGACAGATGCACTTCTAAAGAAAATGTGAAAATGTGCGTCTGTGTTTCAACTGATAACTATTAAAACTATTCTAACATGATGAAGGGTAGTATTTAAAATATTTCAGTCCCCTGTTCACACTGCTCAGCATCACACAAAGGTCTAAATGGACCAAAACACGAGTATGATACATAAATCGTGATGCTGAGAGAGGAGAGAGCAGTGTGGGATCTTCTTTCTTAAGGCTCAAGTGATATTTCCTATGCACCTGCATCTGAGATAGCTGAAAAATTACATACCATGATGTGAAAGTGGCCCCAGCAGGAGCAGAGTCAGCTGTAACATCTTCATGTCAAGCTCAAAAATGGCTCTTCTTTAGTGAACTTAACTCAGTTGATTTTATATTTTCACAACACGTAAGCCCACTTTTGAACTTATTATTCATGTACTCACATTTTTAAGGCAGGCGTTTTTGAATTAAATGTTTCATTGTATATGTGTTTAAAATATTTTTATGGGAGGTCAAGAACTGCACTTATCCCAGTTTACCTTTTCTCCAGGTGACAATGAGACTATTAAAGGCAGCTTAGACGGCAGTGTCCTTCTGCAATGCAACTGCTCAGAGAGAAATGTGAATGAGAAGCTCCAGTGGCAGAAGGAAAAACCAATCATGCTGATGGTGTTCAGACACAATGAGACGAATTCAATGTTTAACGAAAGATACAAGGGCAGGGCCAAGACATTTCTGTCCGACAACAGCAACAACTGCTCCATTCTGCTGAACAACATCACAGCAGACGACCAGGGGATTTACAAGTGCAGTTTTTACATTCAAGAAACATACCAGAGATCATTTGTGAATCTAAGCGTGTCTGGTGAGTCAGTCATTCATCACGTATACCGACAGTGTTTGATCACTCATTCCTTCATGTGACAATTTCCAATAGAGAAGCAATGAAATTTTGTATAAGTTTAACTTGAGTCTTCTCTCACCAGCGGACTACCATGTCTGTCAGAATGACGACAACCCGAGTGGAAGTGGAAAGGTTTTCCATTGTTGCATGAAAGGACGCTACAGGGAGTCTGAGATTCAGTGGAGGTTGGATAGACAGCTTCTTACTAATTCAACCACAACTTACATAACCCACACATACTACCTGGATGCTACAGGCTACTACTATTTCAACAGCACACTCAGCACTAAACTCAACTGGACATCAAAGCCTACATGTGATGTGAAGGCAAAAGGCGTGTCAACCAACATCATCAGTGAGCGCAGAACTGGTAACTATTTGTTTTAGCTGTAGCAAAAGTCATAAAAACAACATATTGTAAAGCATTACAAAAGTTAAGTTTAGGATCTGACATCAAATCATTGAGTTAGGTCATCATATTTTTGTGTTTCTTGCACAGGACCCTCCCCGCAGCAAGGTTCAGGTAGATACCGGCACTTAACGATCATTCCCATTACATTGGTGCTTGGACTTTCCCTGCTCTTGTGGCGGTATCGTTCCAACACCTCACGGTAAGTTTTGCAAGTGTTTGTCATCATGCCAGAGATTTTTATTCAAGATTTTTTATTTCAGTTTTACCAGTTAAACCAGATTTGCGCAACACTTTCTGCAGTTGTTAACCAAGCCACCAACACTTTTGCTCGTCTGTGTCAGTGTGTCATTGTTACTGGGTCTCCCAGTGGAATTAATCTTTCCATGTCTTTGTCTTTGAAAAAGGAGTACGCCGAGGATAAGAGATGACCTATGCTGCTAAGAACCCATGACAAACTCCAGTGTGACAATGTGAGAGTGTGTTCCACTGAACTGTTAGTCACGAATGTGGTGTCATGCCCGCACAGAGTCTCTCAACAGGCAGGTTACATCCTGTGTTCATGCCGCTCAAGGAATGTGGTGTTTATTTTGGAAGAAGGTACCAACCTTGTGAACTTTTATGGACGTTTGCAGGGAGGTGTTTTTATTGTTATACTTCCTTACAACTCACTGTAATGAGATTAGCCTCTGCGATCTGAGGACAAAGTGAGACATTTAAATATAATTAGATACACATGGTGTCGACCATAGACTCCATAAAAAATGGACGTAGCTATCATGACTTCACCCATTGGTTTGTGGAATGCTGTTTTGAAGCCTCAAGTTCGGCATTTTGGCTGTCGCCATCTTGGTTTTTTGGAGCAAGAAGTGACTATATTTGGACGAGAGCTTGGAGCTGTGGAGAAGCGAGGGATGGATCCGACTCTAGACTGTGGTGAGGCCTTACAGACAGCCTATCACTCAAGTGGTCACACACTTAAATATGGGTAACTCTCAGTCTTTAAAATGTAAATGGGTGAGTTTTAAAAAAATTCACCCCCCGTACAGTTGTCATGACTGCTGACATTTGCTATAGAAGCCAAAACTTTTTTTGTACCAGGCTGTAAAGTAAGGCTGGGCATTTTAACATGGGAGTCTATGGGGATGGACACTGTTTTGGAGCCAGCCTCAAGTGGCCATTAGAGGAACTGCAGTTTTTTTTGCACCTCCACATTGGGTTCATTTCTCAGCCTCGGAGGTTGGTTTCTACAGGTATCACACACTTACATACTTTAAAGATATTTTTAACCAAATTTAAGACTGATTTTTAGACAAATAATCATTTTATTATTCAAATATTGCAAATAAAGGTATATATATGTTCCTGTGCAGGAGTAGGTCTAACGTATGGTTATGAGAGTGAGTTAGGTTAATATAAATTTTGTCAACACGTAAGTGCAAGTGTAAAGTAAAAAGACGGTTTAGGTTAACACTGGGGGTTTAAGGTTTGTAACATCAGAAATGTGGACCAAAAGTGATGAAAAGAAATTAAAAGATGGATAAAGAAAAATAGATAAAATGACCTTAGAAATCCAAATCCAAATTTAAGACTATTTAATGCATTTGAAGGTTTTATATTTGAAATTAAATTTGAGACAATTAAAGACTTTTTAAGAACCTGCAGACACCCGGGTAACATGAAGAAAACACAAAAAATACAGGAATCATTACACAACAACAACAAAAAGTTGATTCTGTAGCAGGTAAAATTTGACACTATTCATATTCAAATTGAGCCAGAACAGCTTTGAAAATGTGTCTTGCTGACATGGTTAGATGTAAATAAGACCATTTTCTGAATGTACAAAAAAAGTTAAACTGTTTCACATATACTCCCATATACTTAAATCCAGACATACTGCAGAAAACTGAGCCATTTAATGATTTAGTTTATCTATATATACTGTAAGTGCCGTACTTCAAAAAAGGTTATAAATACATTTATATTTACTGTAGATATTTTAGGTAACTTCATCTATATTGCAACAATTGTAATGAATGGAAGTTGTATGAAATGTGTTTGCATTAGTGTGACTATCTACTGTGATTACCTTGTAAAGGTCCTTGATCGAGGCTCTTCTAACATTGTGTGTTAAAATACAGCCTGTTTTTCTGTAACTGCCTGTTATATACTGGTTACACTGAATGTTGTTGCTTTATCAGATTTGTTTTACATTTGTAAACAAACACATTAAGGTCATTTTATATTATATGAATAATACATCAAGTTTTGGAGGGAACCCCTGTGACAATTTTGTGCCATTTAAGCCTGTGAATGAGCCCTACCTGGACAGCCGAACAGTCAAAGACATTTTTATCTTTCTCAGTCTGGAAAGATGTTGTTGAACTCCTGGAACTGGGACACATATTGGTGGTCCAGATGGCCAGTCAACCATGAGTCTCATATTCTGGGTTCGGACAGCAGCCTTGCTTCTGCGGCTGCAAACAGGAGACCACGCCAAATCTGAAGCGAGGGAATTGCAATAATATGTGAACATGTGAATGTGTGGACTTTTTTATGATCAGCAAAGGGTGACATTTAAACCTACACTGGGAGTGTTTTGCTCTGGAAAAAAACTGAACAACCCTTTTCACCCACATACTACGGTTGGTTTGTTTTTTTGAGTTGCTTATTCCTTATGTTGTTTTATATCTTGTCATCATTCTCACTTTCTTTGTGTAAGTTGTGCTTAAAAGCAAAACACTGTAAAAGCATAGTACCAGTGTCATTTAAAGCTTTCCAGCATGCTGAGACTGGTTAGTGGAGCTCGGGCAGAGATTAAATTCAGCCTTTTTTTTGTCTATCTGGAGGAAATGTGGCAACATTTGGCACTGTGTATACAGTATGTGCGTGCAAGAGAGATTACAGATGCCATTAAATACAATAAAGTACATCAAAGAAATTTTGTTTTAATCTGTCTTCTTCTTCATCATCTGCATAGTTTATGAACCCAAATTTGGCAAAGCAACAAAGTTTGATAGACAAAACCTGAATGGCAAACTCATTTCTCTTTAAAGGAATTAGTTCACTGACAAAATTACCGTCTGTAAATCAATACTGTGTTACCTTGCATTGGTGAAGAAAACTTCTTTTTCTTTCATGTCTCCACAAAAAAATGGCAAACATATTGATTTACTGGGCACCATGTTTACCAACAGCAAACATCTGTCAACAAACTCACACAACTCTTGCAGTATAATCCAAGTCTCATTTATCCAGTCCTTAGCTCAGTACTTCATAAACACATGCATTTTCGCTAAAACCTTACAATTTAAAACTGGACTGAAACATATACACTCACCGGCCACTTAATTAGGTACACCTGTTCAACTGCTTGTTAACGCAAATAGCTAATCAGCCAATCATGTGGCAGCAACTCATTTCATTTATTCATGTAGATATTGTCAAGACGACCTGCTGAAGTTCAAACTGAGCATCAGAATGGAGAAGAAAGGTGATTTAAGTGACTTTGAACGTGGCATGGTTGTTGGTGCCAGACGGGCTGGTCTGTCAGAAACTGCTGATCTACTGGGATTTTCACACACAACCATCTCTAGGGTTTACAGAGGATGGTCCCAAAAAGAGAAAATATCCTGTGAGCAGCAGTTCTCTGGGTGAGAGGTCAGAGGAGAATGGCCAGACTGGTTCAAGATGATGGAAAGGCAACAGTAACTCACTTGGTCTGTGCTGATGAGTCTTGATTTCTGCTGCGACATTCAGATGGTAGGGTCAGAATTTGGTGTAAACAACATGAAAGCATGGATCCATCCTGCCTTGTATCAAGGGTTCAGGCTGGTGGTGGTGGTGTAATGGTGTGGGGGATATTTTCTTGGCACACTTTGGGCCCCTTAGTACCAACTGAGCATGGTTTAAATACCACAGCCTATCTGAGTATTGTTGCTGACCGTGTCCATCCCTTTATGACCACAGTGTACCCATCTTCTGATGGCTACTTCCAGCAGGATAACGCACCATGTCACAAAGCTCAAATCATCTCAAACTAGTTTCTTGAACATGACAATGAGTTCACTGTACTCAAATGGCCTCCACAGTCACCAGATCTCAATCCAATAGAGCACCTTTGGGATGTGGTGGAACAGGAGATTCACATCATGGATGTGCAGCCGACAAATCTGCAGCAACTGTGTGATGTCATCATGTCAATATGGACCAAAATCTCTGAGGAATGTTTCCAGCACCTTGTTGAATCCATGGCACTAAGAAAGACAGCTTTGAAGGCAAAAGGGGTCAAACCCTGTACTAGCAAGGTGTACCTCAAAAAATGACCAGTGATTGTAACTGCAGAACATACAACACAATAAGTTTGCCCTTTCCTCTGAAGGCATGCATGAAAAACACATTTTTCGTCACCAATTCAAAGTAACACAGTGTGACTAACTGAGTATTCCTTTACAACATTTCATTATTATTTCTGTCTTGAACCATATCAGCAAAAATACACACATCTCTTAGCAGCCGGACACATGATGCACGACTTTGCTCATAATCACCATTATAAGTAACCAATAATATAATTATTTTTAACAATAAGAGCTGTAAAAATATGCATCTAATAAATAACAACCTGAAAATATAATGAATAAACAATTTGTGGTTGTTCAGGGGATTCTTCACATGCGTTTTCACCATACAGTATTGTACATTTTTGTTTATGGCTAGCTTTAAGCTAACCTTAGATAGCCTTACCATAATGTATCCTAGAGGATAAATTACATCTAAAAGTCATTTATTTTGGAAAGAGACGTATAAAACAGTGCTTTGTATATGTAAAACTTACCATGACCGTGTAAGACTTCAATAACACACAAATTAGGCTAACTTTTACACAATAATGTCACAAACATCCCAACAGCAGATGGCAGCAACGGCTGCCTTGTACGTCATTGCGTATGACGCAGTGACGCACCAGGAAGTGATACGGGCGGCTAATTGGCTAGCTCCGGGCTAGCGAGTAGAGATGAATCTACATCTGAAAAAGAGTTTTGTGTGTTTTCACAGTCTGGAACAGGATTGACATTTTGTCCACGGTAAGGCAGTTCGCACAGATAGGAAAACGGTTTGCTTTAATGTCCGTCAAGTGCTTAAATATGAACAAACTTTGTTAGCTTGATGCTAATTTACGATGAACTTGATTAGCTACAAATAACGTTAAGGTAGTTTAGAAGAGTGGGCTTGTAGTATCCTTACATTGTACCAGCTAGTCTTTGAGGCGTTTGTACATGCTTGGTTTGTGCTGAGAAGTGAGCTTGACTCTTCTGTCGTTTAACGGAAAGCAAATGCGAATTAAAGGGTCAAAATGCTAAAAGAGAAGCTGCTACATCCAGGAGTGAAATGAGCCAGGTGCTTCACTGCAGCACCAAGGGTTGCTCGTCAACATAGGTAAGAAAGTGTTTATGGGTCACTAAAAAGTGAGGTAATTTAGAAACAGTTATCGTGGCAGTTTGTTTAGCTGCCTGTTTACATTTATCTGCAATGATGAGAATGAGCATCATCTCACTGCTTACATATGATAACAGCCCAAATTTTGTCTGATGTCATCATTAGAACTTTGGACTCATTTGAATAATTGGATGTAATTAGTGCGTAAATGATTAATGAATTGAGAGAAAGTTCAGTGTCAGTTATTCTGTTAATTGAAATCTATTAAACAAAAAGTCCAAAAATGTGCTTCAAATTGTTTTATATCATTGTAATCTAAGTATCTTTGGAGTTTGGACCATTGGTTAGACGAAAGCAAGAAACTGAAGATGTCACATTGGGCTCTGAGAAAACCACATCAGTATTTTTTACTACTTTCAGACATTTAACAAACTAAACAAGTAAGTGATTAATAAAAGGGGATCAACACAACAAGATGAAAGTGAAACCCAAAGATATATAACCTACAGTGACATTAAACTGAGAAAAAGGCAGATTTTCACACTCAAGAATTTGAAAACAGTGAATGTTTGGCATGTTTTTGTCATCAGGATTTTCCTAAAAACACAATGTATAGATTCAAACAGAAGTAATCCCTCTCAGTCATCACTTTTGAACCACTCGAAGCATATGACAGTGTATATTTCTGCAGAGACTCTTCTATCTGCCTGTACATTCTTAATATCTTATTTTCTGAGGCAGCACCAAAAGAGAGTGAATCTGGGGTTGGCTTATACTTTTGCTGACATGTGTGTGTTCAAATAGTAACTAACAATCCTGCATAGTATACCTTTAAACAGTTTATTAAGTCAAAATTGTTGCAGATTAATTTAATTGTTCAGCACTAAATTTTACTTGAGATATGTTAAACTTATTTATCAAATTATCAAAATACTTTTGTCATCAATTAATCTTGCTGTTGATCAACTAATAGATCAATGAACTAATTGTTTCAGCACTCGTGAGGTGCACAGCCACACAAGGCATCTACAATGGGCCAACGAAGGAGAGCGGCAGCTTCATCTCAGAGAGCCTCTGGAGCTCCTGCAGAGGTCACTGGGATCCCCAGCAGGAAGCACAATATCTGCATGGTGTCTGACTTCTTCTATCCGAACATGGGAGGAGTAGAAAGTCACATTTACCAGCTATCCCAGTGTTTGATTGAAAAGGGACACAAGGTGGTAATTGTCACCCATGCCTATGGCAAGAGGAAGGGTGTCAGGTACCTGACCAACGGACTGAAGGTCTACTACCTCCCCCTGCAGGTGATGTACAACCAGTCCACAGCCACCACCTGTTTCCACAGTCTCCCACTGATGCGCTGTGTGTTTGTAAGGGAACGCATCACTGTGGTGCACGCACACAGCTCATTCTCTGCCATGGCCCATGATGCACTGTTTCACGCCAAGACCATGGGTCTTAATACGGTATAGTACTTATTATGAGCCAAGTCTGTAAGTTATGATGCTGCAAATAATCTGCCGACATAAACTTAAGTGTGTTTATCCCTAACAGGTGTTCACTGACCACTCACTCTTCGGCTTCGCTGATGTGAGCTCTGTGCTGACCAACAAACTTCTGACTGTGTCGCTGTGTGACACCAACCACACTGTGTGCGTGTCGTACACCAGTAAGGAGAACACGGTGCTCCGTGCAGCACTCAACCCAGAGATAGTGTCTGTTATTCCCAACGCTGTCGACCCTACAGACTTCACCCCTGATCCCTCCCAACGCCAAGATGGCAGGATCACTATAGTTGTGGTCAGCCGTCTCGTCTATCGCAAGGGTACGGAGAGGCTCTTGTGTCAGACATTTTCGCCTTTTTGGTTATATTTTGCTGGTCAGTGTGGACATCAGAATGTTATGGTGAATAGGACACTGCCCTTTTTTTTGTTTGAGTTCACGTATTGAGTCATTCCCACCTAAATATGTCTTTTAGTTTCATCTGATTATCTGACTTTTGAACACTCAAATATCAAAAATGATACCAGCTACAAATATTCAGCATTGGTCAGGTTATAATAAGCATATAATAAGCAATAAGCATTAATTTATATAGCCTAGTATTGCATCATCTTCACTGTCAAATCAAGTGTTCACAATCTCTTCCTCTGTTAAGGAATCGATCTTCTCGGTGGAATAATCCCAGAGCTCTGCCTCAAACATCCAGATCTGCACTTCCTAATCGGTGGAGAGGGACCAAAGAGGCTTGTGCTGGAGGAAGTGAGAGAGAAATACCAACTACATGACAGGTATTACTGGATATTCAAGGTTTCCTCGGTCATGGCAAACCTAGAAAAGTCATTGAATTTCTAAATCTCATTTTCCAGGCCTCAGAAAGTCATGGTATGGGTAAAATCTTTTTTAGTTTTGAGAAAATCGCTATCTAACACTAATTTTTATTATTTTTACTGGTCTCTGTTTTTTACTTTCACGTTTATATATTATATCATCTACTGTCTT